GTCCTTCCACTGATTAATTGTTCTCACTGATAGGAAATTTCTCTTTAATCGTAAATTGGATCCCATGATAATCTTCATCTGTTATTTCCTGTCTTGCCCTCAGGTGCTTTGGAAAATAGGTCAACCCCCTCTTCTCTGTGAAAGCCCTTCAAATATTGGAACACTACTATCATGTCACCGTTAGACCTTCTCTTCATTAGACTAGACCAGGGATAGGCAACCTTGGCTCTTTTATGACTTCAACTCCCAGAATTCCTGAGCCAGCATGGCTCAGCTTGGGAACCTCTCCCTTTCCCCTCAGCATGGCTGGCTCAGGAATTCTGGGAGTTGAAGTCCACGAGTCATAAAAGCCAAGGTTGCCTACCCGTGGACTAGACATTCCCAGTTCCTGCAACCGTTCTTCATATGTTTTAACCTCCAGTCCCCTAATCATTCTCTGCACTTTTTCTAGAATCTCCACATTTTTTTTGTATCATGGTGACCAAAAGTTGATGCAGTATTCCAAGTGTGGTCTCACCAGGGCCGTGTAAAGTAAACTTCATGTGATCTTAATATACAGACTTATGCTGTGAAATGGATCTTAAAACTCATGTAGAGTTTGATGCTGTACTAGAAAGTAGAATGAGGTCATCTTAAATCTGAGTAAATTACCCAAAAATGGGCAAAAGTCATTGGGTAATGACTCACAAACCCATTACCTAATCAATCACAACAGAGAAAATGATTTAAAATGTTTTCTCTAGAATTTACCTATACGGTACAGTGTTTCTGATAAATGGTTTTGGTAATGGAAGAATAAAGTAATTTGTTGGATTTTGTATAGCATAGCAAAATGCAGCATAACATAAAATTCATAGAAACAACGTATAAAATATGTATCAAAATATAAAACACCAGAGCAGTGAATTATTTTAAAAACACACAGTATGAGTGATGAATTAAATTATGTACTATAACAGGTTACTAACACTCTGGACCAGTGGTTCTAGGGCAGTGGTTCTCAACCTTTTTAATGCCGTGACCCCCAACCGGTCGTAAGTCGAGGACTAAACCGGTCGTAAGTCGAGGACTACCCAACCGGTCGTAAGTCGAGGACTTTCCCTGCCTGGGAGCGCCGCGCATGCGTGGTTCCGCCCCCTGCGCCGGCCGAGGCGTAGCTGGCAAGCGGCAGAGATGGAGCAGGCCGACCACCAGCTGGCCCAGCCCAAGGGAGGTAAGGCACCCGCCGGAAAAGGGGAAAAATGGCGGACAGCCTTGCTTGGCGACCCCCGTGAAATGGTCGATCGACCCCAAATGGGGTCACGACCCATAGGTTGAGAACCGCTGTTCTAGGGGGAGAGCTGCAATGTCGTCACAGGGCATCCATGAAGGTTTGAAGAAATGTTATAATTTAAATTTTGACTTAAGTCTCGGTGGTCCGGGGCTATGGCCCGTGACCACAAAAAATATTTAAAGGAGGTCCATGTGGAAGAAAAGATCAAGAACCACCCGTCTAGGCTTTTAAAGGCTTGTGCTCTGAAAAAGCTATATGGAGAGCAGGCAGCCGGTGTGTGATATCCTTTTTTTCAAGGCTGGTTTTAGCATGGAGGAGTGGAGAAACAACATTTCTCTGTAGTGCTGCATCTGTTACCTTCCTTCACTAATAATCCTGGTGGCTAAATGATTGATGATGTCATCCAAATCACTTGGAAGTTCTGCTGTTGCCATTCCTGGTTTAGGATTCTGGACATCCACGATCCTTTTTTGTTATCCCGGACTTACATAAACTGCTTCTCAACAAGCCAAGAGTTCGGGTTTTGTTCAACATGGCAAGCATCTTCCAGGTTTGTTTCACTGGTTCTGCGAATAGGAAAAATCACAGAGGAGCAAAATTAGTTTTATATTGAAACTTGTATTAAATTTAGCATCTTTCCCTTTATCCAGCAGTGAAAATCTGCAGCTTTTCAAATCCTGAACTTATAACTCCTAGCATTTTTCTACATTGGCCACTTTGATTGAGGGCTACTCAGGATTGTAGTTTAGCGATATCCGGGCAGACTCAGACTCAGCTTTATTTCACCCTAAATAAATCTCATCAGGAAGCCATGATTCATGGAACTGCTCCAACTTGTAACACACCTTCCTTCTGATTTTTTCCCCCCTCTTGTGACAGGTTAAGACAAGAATTTACATTATAAACTATTAGTTTCATTTTAATAAATCAGAACATGGGTGGTGTGTTAGTACAGAAAGTCCTCATTTAGTGACACAACAGTATTGAAAAAGCAATCTGGGACCTCAACAGATCTGTAAAGCAAAAGAAAGTTGAAGTAAGTTCATAAATGCTGTTGCAGTTCCACTTAATGACTATTTTGCTTAATAACTGAGTTGTTGGTCCCAGTTGTGCTCACTAAATGAGAACCCCTTGTATAAGCAGCTTGTAATTTTCTATTTGTACAAGAAACCCAGACTAGGGTAATTAGGGCTAATATCCCAACCTGAAATTACTTGTATTGATCCTCCTCTTAGGATTCTTAAACAAAGAACCCTGATCTCTAACACTCTCAGTTGGACACAATAAATCATCATCCCAAAGCTGAGATCATTTTTAAAAAGCCTTCCTTAGTCATCACCATGATCAAAACCAGTGGCAAGTGTCCACCAAAATACAAAACTAGTGGTGAATTTTTTAGCAGTTTAGGGTGGCATTTTCTTGTTTAGAGCAACAAAAGACAATCTAGTGATGTAACAATGTTCCTGAGTCATTAAGCTGGGTTTTCCTTAGAAGGGAACATTGGGGAGATTAAATGTTTTTTAATATTGTTATCTTTTGGATGAGGAAAGCCTAAGCACATATTGCCCAATTGCTAGAGGTTGCATTTCACTTATTATAGACAACAAAACAAGCTGGCAGCAGAAGAGGATGTTAGGAAGAAGCTTAAACTGACTCCACCTTAACTTCCTTTAAAAGATGCCCACTCTTTACTAGAGGAAGAAAAACACCGTCATGCTTCCAAAATTCTGGGGTTATATTCTATAAGAATAAAATAAAGAGTTCTGATGTCTGTTTCCTGATGTGTTCTATCTTCAAGGGCTGACATTTATCCAGCCATCCATTCACTTTGTATCACTGTCCACTGGACAGTGGGTAGTGCAACTCTGGGTAGTTAACATCCAACTGAAAACAACAACATAATAATCAAAAAATCAAATGCATCCTATCTAAAGCAAAAGGCTTGCAAAAAAAATGGATTAGGACAAGGAAGCCCAATCGTGGCAACTTTTAAGACTTGCATGGCTGGCTGGAGAATTCTGGGAGTTGAAGTCCACAAGTCTTAAAGTTGCCAAAGTCGGATACCCCTAGTTTAGGGTCATATGTTAATTGCTGCCTAGAATCCCTTATGTGAAATGGGCAGCTATTGAAAATCAATCAATCCATCAATCAGCCCCAAGGGCAAGGACATAAATTTTCTGCAGCTCACTCACTGAGAGATGCCTACTGCAAGTCTGTTTAACCCAAGACAGCGTTCCCTAAACCAAGAGCCAAGGTTGCCTACCCCTGCCCTAAACTATATTCCCCTTCCAGTAGTGCAAGTTGAAAACAACATGTGGCACATAATCAAATAGTCACAACATTGTGAGAAGATCCTCAGGATGTGGTCAAAAAAGCCATAATGGTTACTATATGCTACGTGCTGCACTTGCTCCTTCTTCTGGCAGAGTTCATATGAAGGCTTAAGCTAGGATTGGGAAGTCCAGGAATCACACATGACAGTGAGGCATCGTTCTGTTTTTGTCCTTTTTCAAAATATTATGATTGCTATTAATATATTATTATCACTTCCCTTATGTACTAACACATGGGCTTCCGCAGGGAGATAGCAAAATCAGCAAGATGTCGGATGTGTCACTGGGACTGAAGCCCCGCCCTTTTTGCAGGTGCATGGAATGTTGACACACGTACAAAAGAGGCGGAGCTATGACATCACACTCAGCATCTTCCGGATTTGAACACTGGGTACAGTCAGGTGTTTTGTTCTGTTTATTTAATAATAATAATAATGATAAAGTTGGAAGGGACCTTGGAGGTCATCTATTCTAATCCCCTGCTCAGGCAGGAAACCCTATACCATTTCGGACAAATGGCTGTCCAGTCTCTTCTTAAAAACTTCCAGTGTTGGAGCATTCACCGCTTCTGGAGACAGGTTGTTCCACTGGTTAATTATTCTCACTGTCAGGAAGTTTCTCCTTAGTTCTAGGTTGCTTCTCTCCTTGCTTAGTTTCCATCCGTTGCTTCTTGTCCTGCCTTCAGGCACCTTGGAGAATAGCTTGACTCCCTCTTCTTTGTGGCAGCCCCTGAGATATTGGAACACTGCTATCATGTCCCCCCTCGTCCCTGTGTTAAACTAGACATACCCAATTCCAGCAACCGTTCCTTATATGTTTTAGTTATTTGACATATCTCTGTGACTATTAACAGGTTATGTAGGAAAAGACAATACAATTTAAATATGCCCAGTACAATAAAAATACAACAAGATATTTAAAAAAAGATGACACTGGAGCGCATAAAGTTTCTCTGAACTGGCCCAGTCTTCCAAAACATCTGCAAAATCAGCAAAGCAGAAGCTGATCTAATCTAATCTAGAAATGTTGCACCTCTTCACCTCAGCACCTGAATCTCCACAAAGTGTGAGGTTTGTAGCTGTTTCTCCTGGCAGATCTTACTGGTCAGGTTGATGCTGACTGGAGAAAGCGATCCTGCAGGAGTCTGATGCTGAGCCATAAAAGGTTTTGCAATCCAAACCAGTTTGTAGGACTGAGATGAGGCCTAGATCCCCAAAGGTGCAACCGAACTGAAGTCAACGCACAGCGAAAGAGCGAATGAAATCACACAGAAAGAAGGAAATCGAAAACCAAATCCTGGGCCAGCAATGCGGGAAATCGGACTTCCCCCTTTTGTGGTATATAAAAGCTGAAGTCAGAACGGCACAAGAGTTCGCAAGAAAAGTGCAAGGTGGAACATTCCTACCACGAATCCAAAGGACCTGCCAAGTTCCCAGCAGCAGAGATGGGTGAATCAATCATCTACATCAGGCATATCGAGTTGCTGGGATTTGAGAAGAGGTTTTTCCCCAGCCAGCACTATGTAAGTACTTGGAGAGTGACAGCCTGATTTAAGAAGCTGAATTTGACTTCTGGAGAGCTGGGAGTAGAACAAACTGATGGACTTCTTTAATAGCTCAGAAAAGTGATTGAACTTATTTAAAATGTCCTGGGGAACAGACTCCATTTGGAGATTAGGATGCATTCCACTATTAAAAGGTCTCTGATTTAATCCCCAGTTTTGGCAGTTACAGAAGGGAGAGAGGTAGGAGTCTAAACATCAGCACAGACAATACTGCCATCTCATCTTCCCCTATAACGCAGGTCTTTGAGACAATGAGAGTTCAATGGAGCAGAATAGAACATAATGAAAGGAACTAATTTTTCAAAGAATCTGAGAAGAACAGACTTAATCAAACTTAATTTGGCCAGCTGTAGACCCAGCAGTTGCACTCAGAATCTGAATTTGGTTAGTTTTTAACTTTAATTAGATGCCTTGGTGGCTTAATCTTTGATACTGTGGTGGGATTCAAATATGTGAACAACCGGTTCTCTGTGTGGATGCTGCTTCTGGAAATCCATTCTGAGCCTGGGCAACAAAAAGTTAGCTACCAGTTCTGCCGAAGTGGTGCGAACTGGCTGAATCCCACCACTGTGTGGAGGGCAATTTTCTATCCAGTGTTCTTTTGAGCATGATTGTAGAGCCAGTGTGTACTTTATAGTCCTCCCCCCAGTCAAACCCACATATAACTAGCTTTCTAATCAGAATGCCATGACAAAGGTTTGCTGAAATCAAGACAGAACTCAATTACAATGTATTATCTTAAAGAAGTTACCTGTTCTTTAAGTAAGACAGTATACACTCAGAATATAAAACAATATTTTCATATTCCGGAACATGAACGAATGATCAGTAAGTCAAAGAAAATGAAAAAGAAAATAGTTGGAAATCATTGTTGATTTTAAATGCTGTGCTTTATTCAGGTTTATATGTTTCTGGTGAAATGGCAAGACCTGACAGAAAAAGTTGTGTATCGGAAGTTCACGGAGATCTATGAGTTCCATGTAAGTACGGATTGGATCTGAATGTTTTATTATTAAATTAGATTTGGGGGAAGGTTGTGAAAATAATAATGACTCGAATTAAGTTTCCACGAGTCTTAAACTGTGAATCTAATTGTAGATTCCCCATACATAAGTATTATTTATTATTAAACAACATTATGTATCTCAGGTTCTTTGGAAGTATTTGATAGGCGGACAAAAATGCCAAATCCAGTCTAAACATCTGGCTGACTGTGTGACCAGCCATAATACCTAGAGGCATGTGGGAAGGAATCTTAGGACTGAATGGTGAGAAGTAAGCATAAACTCAGGCAGAATCCTCAAGGCCACCTCAATTTCGTTCCATCATATTTGGCTTCCTAAAGTAGAAATTAATAAGGAAGCTTTTAAGCTTAACCCAGACATTTGCTGAGTAAGCTCAGCTGAGAGTAACTTCTGGCAGTCAAGGGACTGTTCTCCTTTGGATAGTTCCCACATCAAGATTGGTCTTGTGTTTTTTGGTGTGTGTTTTTTTAAAAAAATACAACTGGTTGGAATTTTTATACTTTCTGACTTGGACAGGATTTTGAAATCATGAAGCTTTCCCATGTTATGAAAGTAGAGGAAACCCACATAGAAGTAATTGGTTAATACTATTTTTTTTATGCAACATAGGGGTTTTTTTTAGTTCCTGAGTGTGTACGTGCTTGTTTGAAAGTATTAGGAAGGTACCTTCTTAGACTCAGGAGTTCAAGAAAGACAGCCTTTTTAATTCTGTATGTTTCAATTATCTTTCTTTTCCTATGATAGCCCTGTTTCTGGTTCCCTTTCCTAGGAAAGGAAGATCAATCCAGGGCTGTGAGGCAGAGTTGGCACAAAATGCTGTCAGAAGAATAATTTGGGGGTCCAACTTGAGCCAGGGTTGTGCAGGAATGAATAAAAATCCAGACATCTGTGAAAAAAGGAGAAATATTTATTCCCAAAAGCAAAGAGATTTGCTTTGGGGGCAGCTACAGAGAAATGGGATACAGCAAGATTATTTTATAGGGGAGCATGTCCTAGGTATGATTCTAGGGTGACACTTGAGGGATGTGGGTGTGCGTGTAGGTACATGCCACCTATGATATTTATTCTTGTGAACATGCAGATCCTCTGGGAGATCATTTTAATTAGTATTTGTGTTTACAGACCTTCTCTTTTGCTATGTGGATTAGGTCTGGCTAATTTATTTGGGGAGGGGTTGAGGAAGATTTTCCCCTGTTTACTATTTTTACTTGATTAACTTAGTTTCAGCTTGGCTATAAATTATCTAGTGGAGACACTGATTCTCAGTCCATCGTTAATGTTTGAGGGAAGATTAAGACAGTATAAAGCAGTGATGGCGAACCTTTTAGAGACCGAGTGCCCAAAAACCGCCCCGCCCCACCCCCGCCCCCACCTGCTCTGCCCCTGGCCTGCCCAGCCTGCCTCGCAGGGCCACCCACCGCCTCCATGGCCCACCACAGATTGCCCAGTGCCCTGCAGCACCATGGGGGCCACATCTTCCGCCCGCGCCCTGTAGCATCATCTGCACGTGACAGGGCACGAGGGCGGAGTTTTGTCCCTGCTGCCCCGCTGCCATGTGCTTGGCTGTGCTGCTCTGTGTGGGCCGCACCTGGGGGTGACTGTCCTCCGGGAGGGCTGCTGATGAGGAGGGGGCCACGGGGGGAGGCGGAGCTGGGGTGATGGCACACGTGCTTACAGAGAGGGCTCTGAGTGCCGCCTCTGGCACGCGTGCCATAGGTTCGCCACCACTGGTATAAAGAATGAAATATATTTTGATATAAGACTTCCCACAATGTTAATGTAGACTAAACTGAATGTTTATGTGTAGTTTCTCCATGTTGTGAGAGCACCTATTCTCAGAAGCAGATGTTAGACCTTGGGGAAAGGGACAGGAATTCCCCAGACATATGCAGACAGTTATTTTCTAAATTACAGTGAGGTTTGTTGTTACAGAGCTTTTCAAGTAAATAATTTCTGTTGATCTCTATTATATATAATGGGCAGGGCACATTTGGTGAAAATGGCAGCTGTAGTTTTTTGGGTTGTGAGAACCCAGCCTCATCCCCTCTCATGGATAGAAAGTAGCTGGTCCGCAGGGAGAAAGCATTCCTTGCACTTCTAGAGGTCAGCATGCTACCACAGATGGTCCAGGCAATCCATGTGTCATATGCAGCTTAGTTAGTCTTCTAAATATTTCTTGCTGCTCCTTAACTCTAGAATCGACCAAATCACATTTTAATGCTTAATGGTGAATTGACCTAGACTTTCAGTTAGATTCTGAAACTGATCTTTTGTTCTTTTCTCTTGCTAGAAAGCTTTGAAGGAAATGTTTCCAATTGAATCTGGGGAAATCAACACAGAGAATAGGATAATCCCACACCTGCAAGGTAAGTAAACTAATTGTAGCTGCAGTTAGTTGTGATGAAACTACATAAAGTTGAAGTTGGCATGGGTTAGTTCCACCTGCTGTTTTCAAATATATTTCCTTGTCCTACCCTTGACTGTTTTTGGCACCCGTATGAACTATCTATGGATGGACCATTTTAACTGGCTTCCTGATTGCCTAGGACAAAGGCAATTTGTAGCCATCCTGAAGTTGCCCTCTAGCTGCAACCAGAATTGCTTCTGGCGAGGGTTGCTGGGAATTGTAGCTTAAGGGCTACAGGTTCTCTGCTTCTGGATTAAATGAAATCAGCTACGTTTATAACACAGAATTACCTGCTGGTCCATATTGTTCATTTTTCTACTGCATAGCTTCTTCTAATTCTATAATTAGCTTAACAAACCAGAAAGACATGTAATTACAATATAGCAATAGCAATAATACTTAGACTTATATACCGCTTCATAGTGCCTTACAGCACTCTCTGAGCAGTTTAAAAATAACAGCATATTGCCTCCAACAAGCTGGCTCCTCATTTTAATGACCTCAAGGATGGAAAGCTGAGTCAACCTTGAGCCGATCAAGATTGAAATGCTGGCAGGGAGCAGAGTTAGTCTGCAATATTGCATTCTAACCACTGTGCCACCACATCTCCTAATGATATAAAACTCCACAGCTCTTGTAATATGATATAAAACTCAGACTGTGGCTTGTTTTCCAGATAAGCCAGGTTTTATAGATCAAACCTAACAAAGAAGGAGATTTGCAACACATTAAACTTAGATCCCCTGTTGGCCTAAGATTTGTTCTAATCTTGCCCCAATCTAGCACTGAAGTTGTTACCTAATTGGGTAATGAAATGTCTGCAAGAAAATATCTAAAAAAGGTTAAATCAGGGCAACTTTAACTTTTAACCTTTTTAGATATTTTTGGCCTGGATGATTGTGTGTTCATTGACACTGCCTACAAGAAAACAGCCATGTTCAGTGAGCACCAAGGATTCCACAGTTCAACCCTGAGCTACATATATTCCCTTCTATAAGTATTTGTTCCAATATAGAAGAGGAGCTATATGCAAACCAAACACAGGCAAAATTCTTTCAAGCACATGCCAGATGCCATCAAGATGTTTGGGCAGTACTTCTGTTGTTGCTGTAACAGTCCAGCTAGCTAGCAGAATCCCAAAGCCCCATTGTATGTTCGAAGACATGCACAAGAATTTGAGGTTTGTCAAGGTTTATTGGACAGCACAGAAGATGGGAGGCCACATTCACCAGACTGGAACAATATCTATAATGGGAGAGGTCACATCACTTTGCTGGGGTGGTTTCCTTCAATTTTCCATCGGCCTTGTGGGAGGGTTTTTTTTTATACGTATCAGTATAAACTTTATTTTAGAACATTGCTATTTTAGTTTGATTCCTGCTTCTCAATGGAAATTATGACACTGATTTTCTGCAATTGTAACCAGAGAGAAATTCATAAAGCTAAAGAAGGCACACCAGGTGTTGCATTCATGAGGAAGCATCAGGTTGCCTGGTTTATGTCACTGGTTGGGATTTCCTAAGTTTTCTTAGACCCTGAAGTTTTAAAAAAACAAGAACTAGCAGCATTTCATGAAAATAACAGCAGTAAATGGATGGGAAAAGTTGAATGGTTTCATCCTGAATAGGACAGGTCTCTGAAAAATTTCCCCACATAAGCTAACATTTTAATGAACAAATTATCTTTGTCATTACTGGATTATAGACCTAGAGTGACTGAAATTCTGTCTTAAAAGCCAGCTCTTCTTCCAACCACCAGATGTCTTGAGTTTTATTAAAGTGGAACTGAGACCATGATAGGTTCAAAAGAAATCTTTCCCCAAGATTTTCCAGGTTCCTTAAACTGAAGGTTTCAATATTTTCACGATGCGCACAGATTTACACTAATTTTGGGAAAGGAATGATCGAATCATTACATATGTATGCAAGTTCTGGGTTTTTGCACACTAACCTAACGTGATGTGTAGAGGTTAACTTGGAAAACTTGTATTATGGGCCAGAGGCTGATGACTGACAAGCAGCCAAACATGGTCAGTACTGATGACAGGTGGTTTCCGAAGTTAGGGCCCATACTTGCAAGCAAACAGCCTTGAAACTGCCTTGTATTGAACCCATTCTGTTATAGAAGGACAACAGTTATGAAAGCTCCTTCATATTTCTCCTGCTTTCTTTGCCTCCAGCCTCTCTTGGCTGGAAGAGACTGTTGGGAAGTTCTCCCTTAGAGCATTGATTGAGATCTGTTTCCAACTATCATTCTAAGCCATTACTTAACCGTGGCTTGTTGATTCATAAAAGCCAGAACTGGAATTCATATATAAGGCTAAGTCCAAGCCAAACACGCTGCATTTATTGCCCAGAGAACTTAGGAATGTTGTCAGAGTTGCCATCATAGGCTTGAACTTCCCATTCGCTAGCTGTCAGTCTGCCATGAACTATGGGGGGGGGGAGGGAGCTGGACAGGAAGGGGAAAGTGAAACTGATGAAGTTGATGGGAAGAAGTCTGCCTCTCAGAGACAAGTCCTCAAGGTAATTGCCCTGGAAGAAGAATGCACGACCAGTTTCAAAAACACCTCTTTCAAAATTGATTGGACGATGAGGGGAACCAGCAATGGGAAGTGTCTAGGAGGGAAAAATTAAAGTTAGAGATTTGGTGTGCGAACTTCAGTTCTAGTTTTGCTATGCTGTGATCGACTTGGCTTTTTAGTAAATATATATATATATTTCACTACAAATGGAGTTGATGGTCTTTCTTAACTAAAGGACCAAGTTGGGGGCAGGTCTAACCAATGTCCTCAAAAGTCTTCTATTTCACTCAACTCATAATCTGCATTGTAGAATGTGATTGCGGCAATTTGTGAAAGGTGACTCAGGGCTTAAGTGATTCTCTTTCCTTTAATTTCCTTTCCTTCCTTTTCTCTTGCTGGACGCTCAAAACACACAGAAGAGAGAGAAATGTCCAAGATGTGACAATGTGGAGCAAAATCTCTGCCTTGGGTTTTGGGGAAGTACCCCAATTTAGAGTTGACTGTTCTGGAGCAGATGGGTAAATAGACTCACCTGAGATAAGATGTATTTGCTTCCTTTCTCTGTCTAGCCCCAAGGTGGTTTGACAGCCAACGCTCCACTGAAAACAGGCAAAATACTCTGTCTGAGTACTTCTCTGCCTTGATCAATCTTCCGCGCAAGATCTCCCGTTGTGTGCATGTCTTAAACTTCTTCAAAGTCAGACCAGATGATCTGAACCCATCTACTGCAAATCAGTGAGTATTGGCCAGGCTCTGGAAGATGCAGATTGGGACATCCATGTTTTGGGACTACCCATATTTTGTGCAACCAATGCTTATAAAATCAAGCACAGTTGCTTGATAAATATGGTAAGCCACTCACAGTGGCTTACAATCATGGCTTAATCCCAGATGCATGTACTGTATATATGCAAAATGAAATGACTGAATTCATGCAACACACTAAGCCCAAATCAAACAAAACCACACAATGCATGACCCCAGGTATAGATTTAAATGGAAACTGGAAGAACTGCAATAGGGAATGGGTTTGTTCTTATCTTGAGCCTGGCATTGATATTATCAACATCCACATTTACCCTGTGTTGTTATCAGGTAGTTTTTCTGCATAATGCAACCTCTGCTGATTTAGATAGGAAAATTGCCAGAGGAGATAAGGAGAATAATAAGGAAGGAAATTCCCTAAAAGTTATTCATTGCAGAAACACAGTTGGAACTGGAGGGTGGCTGTACTCAAACATAGCCTTGCTCAAAGAGTTTTTATTTTATATATATCATCTAATTAACCCTTGGTGGTGGTAAGTGCCACATGAAATAGTCCAGGGCTTTGCAATCTCAGAGTCTGAGGACATTTATTTTGAGAAATCCTGCAGCAAAGATGGAATTGCAAAAATGAAACAAAAAAAAAATCCACTTTTTTTTTTGTCTGTGTGTGATGCAAGAGCGTAACTCTGCAGAGCTTGTTGGCAAATTACTTCTGTAAATGAAGACACTCTTGCCTCATTCCTTCTCCAGGCCCTGTAGGTGAATCTACTTTTATTACTTTGAGAAGCTGCACCATGAGCACTTGTAGGGTGTTGAGGGCCACAATCCGAAACAGTGAAATCAGGAAGTGTTTGGGGCAGGGGCACTTGAGGAGAAAAATGAAAGCCTTATAGCATGTCTCTGTATTTCGCCCCTTCACACCTCCAGATTCCTCTCCAAATATAATCAAAAGACTGAAACTTTCAGCCCACTTGGAATTTGAACTTTATCAGTTGGAAGCTCAGTTGATAAAGAACAAAACGCACAAGGGTCCTGCTGTTTCCCCTTTTCTTAGCCAGCAATTAGGGAGCTTGGAGGTTTCCCTTTGGTGTGAAGTGACTGGCAAGTGAGGGGGAAACAGTAGGGTTGTGGAACTACCCACCTGCAATTCTAAATGTTTTGCATTTTGTTTAGAACAGTGGTTCTCAACCTGTGGGTTGGGACCCCATTTGGGGTCGATCGACCATTTCACGGGGGTTGCCAAGCAAGGCTGTCCGCCATTTCCCCCCCCCTTTTCCAGCGGGTGCCTTACCTCCCTTGGGCTGGGCCAGCTGGTGGTCAGCCTGCTCCGTCTCTGCCGCTTGCCAGCTACGCCTCGGCCGGCGCAGGGGGCGGAACCACGCATGCACGGCGCTCCCGGGCAGGGAAAGTCCTCGACTTACGACCGGTTGGGTAGTCCTCGACTTATGACCGGTTTAGTCCTCGACTTACGACCGGTTTAGTCCTCGACTTACGACCGGTTTAGTCCTCGACTTACGACCGGTTGGGGTCGTGGCATTAAAAGGTTGAGAACCACTGGTTTAGAATGTATCACTTCTTCCTTTCTTGAGCTGCTGCTGCAGCCATTGGCTGTGGTTTCAAGTCTTTGAGAAAGAATCTTATTGAAAGTTTATGACAGATCGTACCACACTGCTTGCAATGTGATTTTTTAATGCAAATGGAATGATGGCTTAGCAGCCAGGGAGCTTCCTCTTGTACACATCTTTAGTTGTTTTCTTGATTATATGCTCATCAAGTCAATGTCAGCTGTTAGCCACCTCAAGGGTAGACTTTCCTGGGATACGCAGTGATTTTTATTAATAACAATACACAATCTGCTCTGAAGTCGATGCTCAATGCTGGCTGGGGAATTCTGCTTGTTGAAGTCCACACATCTTAAAGTTGGCAAGGTTGAACAACATTGCCCTACAGGGCTGGGCCTTTTGAATGTCAGTTGACCAGCCCCAGCCTTTCCACTGTATCTTAAAAAAACATTGCAATGAACATCCTTAGATGCATTTAAATGAATGTTCCCCCACTTAATGTGTCACAAAACCCCATCAAGTTCTCAGAAACCCTCAAAATTCTATGGGACTCTGTTTGAAACTCCCTGGACTAAAGCATAGAATTTGATCAATTTCACTATACCTTCATCACGTTCAGAGGCCCAGCCTAGAAATAATGAAAGCGTCCAGTGGTTTGCTAAGGGCTATTTCATTTACATTAGTGGCTGATCGGTGAGGCCTGAGATAGTAACAAGTCTTGTCCTTACTCCCTGCAGCCCCAAGAAACCAGAAGCATTCCTGATGCCAAAAGATTCAAAGAAGATTGCAGCAGGTAAGTCAATGGGAGTGTCAAAAGGAACCATTTGTGTCATCTTTTGCATTGCATTTCTGAGTTGGTTGCATCTGTGTTGAGAATGAAGGGGTGCTGGGATGTTTCTGCACTAAATCTGGGTTCCCTAAGCCATATAAGGAACGGTTGCTGGAATTGGGTATGTCTCGTTTAACGAAGAGAAGGACAAGGGGGACATGATAGCAGTGTTCCAATATCTCAGGGGCTGCCACAAAGAAGAGGGAGTCAAGCTATTTTCCAAAGCGCCTGAAGGCAGGACAAGAAGCAATGGATGGAAACTAACCAAGGAGAGAAGCAACCTAGAACTAAGGAGAAACTTCCTGACAGTTAGAACAATTAACCAGTGGAACAATCTGCCTCCAGAAGCGGTGAATGCTCCAACACTGGAAGTTTTTAAGAAGAAACTGGACAGCCATTTGTCCAAAATGGTATAGGGTTTCCTGCCTGAGCAGGGGATTGGACTAGATGACCTCCAAGATCCCTTCCAACTTTATCATTATTATTATTATTATCAGGGTGCCCACTGTGAGGCAAAACAGAATACCGGATTAGATAGGTCTTTGATCTGTTCCAATGGGCTCTTCCTATCTCTTCGCTGCCCTTCTTGCAGGCTTTTATTATTACTTTCAGGAAGTTTTAATTCATAGTTTATCATGAGGACTAGAAACACGCATTTAAAGAAGAATGGCATTGGGAAAAACTTTAAAAAATGAAAGCTCTCAATACTCAAGTCTAGCTTCTAGGTTACATGAAATCTCTTATTTTACTAACTCTGGAAATTATCTCTTTGTTTCTGAAAATAATCTCTTCATACCGTATGTATGCTGCTCCTATTAGTTGCTTAGAATCCCTTTTTAAATTGAAGTGGCTACAAAGTAATGTATAACGTAGTGAATAAACTAAATAAATAAACTGAGATTTCTCCTTGCAAAATGATTGTCCCTGCTGTCAGGTTTACAACTTGAAAAGATAACCGTGCCAAGGAAAAAGAGACGGGGAGGAAACAGGTGAATCTATTCGGGTGGACACAAATCAGAGATGATTCCCCTCTTTTAATAGCTCTTGGCTAACCCAGTTCTGTTAAATGTTGGCTCCAGCTGGATCCTCTGGTCTTCTAATTCCAACGGTGTCTCCTTTTTTTGTAGACATCACAAGCCCAATCATCCTACAGACCTACCGTGTGATTGCTGACTATGAGAAGAACTCTAGCACTGAGATGGCCATGAAAGTGGGAGACCTAGTAGATGTGGTGGAGAAGAGTGAAAGTGGTAAGAAAGAAGCTGGGTAATTTTTTTTCCATCTTGCGGTGGACTGGGGATTTTACTCAGTAAAAAAACCCCTTCTTTTTCTATCATGGTTATTCATTTCAGGGTGGTGGTTTTGTCAGCAAAAGAATAAACGAGGTTGGGTACCAGCTGCTTACCTAGAACCAATGGATAGTCCAGATGAAGCCGAAGAACAGGAGCCCAACTATGCAGGTGAATGAACTTTACTGTTAGATTTGAGGTTGTCATCAGGCTAAGGACCATGCCGAGCAAGGCCCCAGTTTAGCTCTAGAACAGGGGTCTTCAAACTTGGCCCTTGCTAAAGTAATTAGCAATAAAGGACAGATTGGTTTTAAAACACAGTCTGAGGTGACTCAGTTTAACAACCATAGAACAAGAGATGATAAATCTTTGTTATGCCAAATAGTTTAATTGAGGCAAATATAATTGGTTTAGACCAGGGGTAGGTAACCTTGGCTCTTTTATGACTCGTGGACTTCAACTCCCAGAATTCCTGAGCCAGCCATGGCTGAAGTCCACAAGTCATAAAAGAGCCAAGGTTGCCTACCCCTGGTTTAGACAAAGGAGAGTGTCTCCATACCAAGGATGTGGTTGTGAGGGGGGGGGGGGAAGGAGGTATGCCATCATGAGATTTCTGAAAGCATAGTTTATGTATATTATATCTAATGTAACATAATGTATGTGAAATACTGTAAATAAATAATAGAGTACTATATCTGCACAATTTACTGTAATATTTATTAATGATCAATACATGCTAAACAAGCAGTATAGTATGTGTGTTTCAGTGATCAATAAGCAATGAAAATATCAAATTATTAATAAATATTGAGTAAAAATTAAAATAAATACGATCAATTGGTATAAAGGTGAACTGGGATGCAAAGTCTCATTCTACTTCAGCTGCATGAATTATTAATTATTACAGTAAGTTATTGTAAATATTGCAGTTTCCTTAACATAAAACTATACATTTTTGTAAAATAAAAGTTGCCATTAATGACTTCCTTCCTGCATTTTATCTTTTGGGGCTCACTAAAGGGAATCTACTGTGTTTTAAAAACATATACAGTATTATTGTTTAGCCTATTTTCCCATTAAAATGCCTCATTAACCGATAAAATATTCACCATTATAAAAAGACATTTAAAAGAGGTTGCTGGTTGAAGCTAATTTAAATGAAATATAAAAATATGAATTAAATTTGTGTAAAGCGTTTATTGTCCCTCAGAATTTGTTTCATCTCTAATGTGAGTTTGTCCCTCTTTTGCCTTTCACATTTTGGATGCATAAGCTGTTTTCACCCTCCACAGTCCAATCTGTAAAATGGGTAGCTGAGTGAAAGCAAGATTTAAAACATGAATGAAAGCAGTTAAATGTTTTTCGGCACTTGATATCAGTTTCAATTCAGAATCACTTCTTATGAGATGGGCGGCCGTATAAATTTTATCAATCAATCAAATAAACTCTCTTCTTGTAAGGTGAACTCCATGTTGTCCGAAAAGGTTACACAGCTGCTCAGGAAGATGAGATTTCCCTGAAGGAAGGAGAAACCATAGAAGTTATCCATAAACTGCTTGATGGTTGGTGGGTAGTCAGGTAAGGCTTCAGCCATGACTCTTTTCAAAGAGGAAGCAATGGAGATGTTTTGTCCTTGAACTTCCCACAAATTGTTCCCCTGCAAATGCACTAGGACAAATTTCAGATTTCTGACTAGAGAAGCTAGTTGCCGGAGCTTGGAGGACACCTCACTGAAGGTTCCTGCAGCTGAATGTGGGAATGGCACTCATCAATGCGGGCTTTCCTGTTGTGCAAAAGTGGCCCCACTTACTGTTTGTCGAGATGTCTTCACAACCGAGCCTCCATCCTGTGGTGGTCTGACAGGATGCTATGAAACCAGCCCATTCTATCCATTTTTGGGGCAATTTGGGGGCTTGCTTTCCAGTCTAAAATGGGCCTTGAGCTACCCAAATTAAAGTTGTGCAAATCCACCCCAATCGTCCCAAAGGTGCTTTTTCTGAAAGGCAACTGGACTTTTTTTTTCTTTGAAAATGTTTCACTTCTGAAGAACTGAAGGAGTTTCAAAGAAAACCCCCCCCAAGAAAGTCCAGTTCCCTTTTGGAAAAAGCACCTTTGGGACAACCATGACCTGGTTGAGAAGCTCCATAGACCTAAATCCAGCCTAATGATATTAAGATCTGAGAACCCCTTGTCTGCAAGGATGAATCTGCCAAAATCAATTTTCTCCAGTTTGGTTTCTCTCTTTTCAAGTTCTTTCTCTCTCCCATACATGAAGTCATTTGTGAATGTGGTTGGAGTGCTTCAGGGTGAAACTCATGAGCGTAGTCTTTCATCTTTAGTCTGACTTCAGAGGCACAGGCATAACGTGCGGGCAGAAGTTCTATGTTAATTCTGAGGTAGATTGGGAAAAACCCTTGACAGAAATTTTGGAGGGCAATTGCTGATCCAGTGGTTGATTTCCATGCCATTGACAACACATGGAGACAGAACTCCAATTGTCCAATGTCCACATATTATTGCACCTTCAGTGTGATGCTTAAAGGGCAAATCTCAGTCAACACAGAATACGCAGATAGACCCCCAAAAAGGCCGTCAAAAATCTGAAGTGACAGGTGTTAAAAAGAGGAAGTTTCAGCTGACAGCCATCTGATGAGTATCTATGTATTGCAATATGTTATTAGGTTCAGAGCTAAATAAATGCGTGGGAGATAACCCTGGAGCATGACATATTCTTATTCTGTTCAGCATTATGTACCAATAGAAAAGAGTATATGTACTTTAGGGTTGAACTGTGGGGTCCTTAGTGCTCTCTGAGCTTGGTTCTTTGCTTCCAGACGTTTTACTACCCAACTAGGTAACATCATCAATATTTATGTAGATGTCATATTTCTTAGAAGGATCTTGCTATGGAGTGCAACCATGGTTCAAACTATCTCTGCTTGTTTATTTCTCTGTGTCAATAAAATGGTCTTCTTAAATCTTAGGAAGGAAGAGATCACAGGCTACTATCCTTCAATGTATCTGCAGAAAGCAGGAGAGGAAAACATGACTGAGAACAACCAGCTGAGGAATAAAGCAGCACCACCACGAAGGTACAGTTGGGCTCCCTGGATGTTTATTTGTTTTGAAGTGTTGGATTAAGACTGGTGAAACCAAACCTCAAGTCCATCCTCGGCCTTGGAAACTCACTGGGTGATTTTGGGTTGTTGTGGGGATAAAATCAACAAGAGTTTTCTTTAGAATCAATTTGGAGCCCCTAGATGTAAATGTAAATCAAGATTTAATTTACTTTAGCCTTTGGTCATAAGTAGACATTGTCAAGCACTTACCAAGTCTAATATCTGAATCAGGGGCTCAGATAAATGCTGATTACTTCATTACTTCTCAGGACAAAGAAAAGATGGGATTTTAAGACTAGGAAATTAGCCAGTTGTATAAAATTCCATAATCAAAAAAATGGGAAGGAGAAAGTCATGGAATCCAACATTTTGCTCAATGCAAGATCCAGATCAAATCACTACTATGGGGATTTTATAGGAAAATATATGGGAATCACTCTGATTGGAAACGAGAATTTTAGTCCATGCACAAGGAAAATGCCAAGTTGGAGAAAACCTGGCTTAGCAGATTCTCGTTTTGTTATTCATGTGCTTATAATTCCACTGATGATTTTCCTTTCCTTCTGATGACTGGGCAGATCTAGTATCGGCAATATCAAGAGCATCCACACGCAAAGTCGCAGGCAGATCAGCCAGGAGACGTATAGGCGGAACAGCGTCAAATACATGCAAAGCAAAAGGAAGCTGAAGAACAAATTCATGGGCAAAACCAACACTATTGGTAAGTATGGGGAGCTTCAAAAAACGCTCTTCCAAAATCCCTAATTTGGTAAAATATGAAAAGATAGCAAGGCACAAAACAACCTTCTCTGACCACTTAAGCCAGTGTTTCTCAACCTTGGCATCTTGAAGATGGATGGACTTCAACTCCCAGAATTCCCCAGCCAGCATCGCTTCGTGTTATCCATAGCAGAACATCCAGATTCAGCCATAATTTCATTCCATACAGCATTAACCTTGTGAACTCTCAAGCTTCCTCCTTCCGTTATATATTCAAGATGGACAGTATTTGATATTTATTTGCTACGTATATGTAGGGGTGTGGGTCTATACATATGTTGTACATAGTATGTTTAGGTGTGTGTCATGTATGTTTCACTTTGAGAGCGGGCAACAAAATTTCATTTTTGATGTGTGCCGTTGTGCCCACAGTAAAAAAAATGACAATAAAGGTTATCTTATCAAAATTGAGAAACACTGCTCTAAGCCTTTGTAAATTTGGTTTCTCTTGAGTTTTGATTATTTCTTCCTTTTAATATGACATGCCCAACTCAAACACACTGGGCATTGGGCAAAAATCACCGGCTGGGGTATTCTGGGATTTGAAGTCCACTCATATTCAAGTTGCTAAGATTGACAAACACTAACTTAAACATGCTAAGCAGGTCGTTTCCTCACTTTTTATTGATACAAATGTCTTCATATGGAATATTTGTATGGAATATTTGTCCTGACATGATGGGCATGTCTAATGTTGTGGCAAATTAAGCCTATGAATATTAATTCTTTAATGACCTCAGGGTTGCACCATTACAGCTGCCAGATCTGAAAGAAAGGAAGTCTTGCTTTTCTCCACCCCAAATCAGGAAGTCAGTTTGGAATGATGTAAAAAGTTTTGCTGTATCATCTCAAGGCTGTTTTCCCCTCCCCTCCATTTTATTTTATAGAGGAAAAAAATGAGAATGATGAACCCAAGCCCGCAATTCCTCCAAGACCCAGTAAAGATTTGATTCTCATTCGTTGTTCTGAGAGCACAAAAAGAAAAATCCAGTGAGGAACAAACTGAGGAATTTATTTCTCCGCCTCAAGTTATTCACATAGGAGCTGTTTTTTTGGAAGAGTTCATGCAAACAACGTCTAGTGTTCCCGTTGCAGCTCTTGTGTTCAGAGAATATGATATTTTTTTCTGCTTGCTTGACCAACCTTACAAAGGAAGAGAGGTGTTTAGAACATAGAATAATAGCATGTAGCTATTACAATTATACAATAATTATATAATAATTGCACATAGAATTTAGCACTGATGACTTCTTACAAATCCATTTTTTTCAGTCTCTTATTGTATAAGCCATTGAATCAAGGTGGTAAAACTATGCTGAATTGAGTTAGTGTTAAATCAATTAAGTTCCCTTTCCCCTGGATTTGTACATTTTGTCAACCAAGCCTGCTTAAAGACTAGAGAGTATTTATAATTCAGTTTTCTTGGTTTCCCTGAGCGTGGGTTGTTTTCCTGCAGATGTTTCGTTACCAGCCTTGGTAATATCATCAGTGTAGAGAATGGAATGGAATTTGTTGGTGGTTTATATAATAGTGGCTTGGTTTGTATAATAATGGCCTGCCCTGCCAGTTGTGACTGGAGTGTGATTTCTTCCTTGGGTAATCAACAAGTTTCACTCTTACATATCACCAAAAATACCATGAATATAATGAGTCTTTTTAGCTAGTTTATGGCTCAAATGTATTGTCTGAATCCAGAAAACAGGCTAATTCAGGTTAAGTGTGTTGTAAGACTTGCATTCATGCATCATTCTTAGCCAGTTAAAGTCCTGGTAATAATATTTTTCCCTACATTGAAAGTTTGCTTAGTTTTCACTTCCATTTGGTGTTTTGTTTGAGGGATGCTATTTTTCTGCGGCTTAGCTCCTTTGGTTAGTTTGTGTTCAATATATGTTAATGAAAAATGGTAGGTTTTGGTTTTATAATTAGTGTATTATATATTTCACTGAGAGTGTAAATACATAATAGTATATATTGTTTTATCCTTTTTGCATGTGTTTAACTGCTGCTTAGTTCTCATTTGCTGATTTTTTTATTGTAATTACAGAATTACAATTGTTTTTCTTTCTGCAAATCCAGAAAAAGGGTGTCTATGAACCAAGCCACAGAGTGAGCGAGTGAGCACGTATGCCCGTAGATGTTCTGAATCTTGATCAGTGGGGTAGCTGGCACCGTCGGGCACACACATGCATTGAGCTTATGATTATTGATTATGATGCACACGTCTATCAACTTAGTGTATTTATTTTTCATGTGCCAAAGTTTGTTATCCACGCATAAGATAGGCTACTTTCTAAAATACGTTTTGGGTATATGGGATCTTGATTTACATCCATTGTATTGTACTTGTAACAATTATGTTGTTAATTAATAAACAAGCTGAGGTAAAAAAGAGGGCTTTTAATCTTTTCAGCAAGTCATTTCCAATTAAACAGCAGTGGTTGTGACATAAAGGAAACCCTTTTGTTGTACTTTAGACCTGCAGATTGCTCAAAAAAGCCTCTTGCGTAAGATTCTGGGCAGAAAGGAATTTGCAAACATTTAAGAAGAAGGCTGTTTTTGAGGAAAGTTGACCAATTTTGAACTGCAAGTTGCGTAGGAGCTCAAAACCACATGCCCTATCCGGTTTACCATTTCAGCTTCCAGCCAGTCCGATGTATGTCTATCCAGAAATTAATAAAAAACTTGGTTTCCTGGAAAGGTCTTGGGACCGACTGTGAAACCCACAGCTTACTTTATAAATGTTTTTGTGTGTGCATTTTTTTATTATTCCATATACCTTGTTAATAACTTTTGTTATAAAATTTTTAATCATATTTTCCTTATTGCTATTTTAATCTCACTGGACATAGAGATGGACAGCATACATAATTAAATAAATAAATAAATAAACCTGTCAACTGCCTGGAGTTTATAAAGATTGGGAGCATTGATAACCTGCATTAATTTTTCTAAATGCTTTTCTGCAGGACACTCCATGATGGCTTTCTTTCCGTCTTTCTATTTTTCCAACTGACAAGCAATATGGCTATTTGTTTATTTATATGTATTTATATCTTGTCTTTATTATTTTTACAAATAATTCAAGGCAGCGAATATATCCAAAAACAACTTCCTCCTCCTGTTTTTCCCACAACAACAACCCTGTGAGGTGGGTTGGACTGGAGAGAGTGACTGGCCCAAAGTCAACCAACTGGCTTTCATGGCCAAGGCAGGACTTGAACTCACAATCTCCAACTTTCTAACCTAGTACCTTAGCCACTAGACCAAACCAATTCTGTGGTCAGTTTGATGCTTGAACATGGTTCCTGCTCTTGTGCTACCATGTTTCCCTGAAAATAAGACCTGGTCTTATTTTTTATTTTATTTTTTGCCTCCAAAAGATGCACCAGGTCTTATTTTTCGGGGTGGGTGGGTGTCTTTTCCTCTCACCTCACAGCGGCAGCACCGACAGCCCCACCCAGCTGGCTCACTTCTTCTATGGCCGAAGGAGCAGCTTCATTCTGCAGCTGAGAATGGAGCTCGGGCCTGCATTTTGCCATCAGAGGCCTTTCCAGAAGGCCTCTGCAGCCGAGAATTGAGCTACAGATTGAATCCATAGCTCGGTTCTCGGCTGCAGTGGCCTTCCAGAAAGGCCTGACTGCAAAATGCAGGCCAGAGCTCCTTTCTCAGCTGCAAAATGAAGCTGCTCCTTCAGCTGCAGAAGACGTGGGCTGGCAAGAGAGGCCTGGATGCAATGGTAAGCTCCAACCCACCTCAGCTTGATTTTTAGGCATGCGCCTCGCCCCAAAACTAGGGCTTATTTTGGGGGGTAGGGCTTATATTAGGCCCACCCCCAAAAATCAAGCTAGGGCTTATTTTCAGGGTAAGTCTTATTTTTGGGGAAACACGGTATATTTCTGCCAATTGTCGCCTTTTTCCTGGTTAGTGGCGACATCATCAGTCATTCAATCAATCAATAGGAGGTTTTCTAGTTCAACCCCCTGCTCAAGCAGGAGACCCTATATCATTTCAGACAAGTGACTGTCCAATCTCTTCTTAAAAACCTCCAGTGATGAAGCACCCACAACATCTGACGGCACGCTGTTGCACTCGTTAATTGTCCTCACTTTTAGGAAGTTTCTCCTTAATTCCAGGGTGCTTCTTTCCTTCATTAGTTTCCATCCATTGTTTCTTGTCCTGCCCTCTGGTGCTTTGGAAAATAGGTTGACCCCCTCTTCTCTGTGGCAGACCCTCAAATACTGGAATACTGCTATCATGTCCCTCTACTCCTTCTTTTCTCTAGACTAGCCAAAACCAAATCCTGCAACTGTTCATCTGTTTTAATCTGCAGGCCTTTAATCATCTTAGCTGCTCTTTGCACTTTTCCCAAAGTCTCAACATCTTTTTTGTAATGTGATGACCAAAAGTGGATGCAGTATTCCAGGTGTGGTCTTACTAAGGCTACACCTATTCAGTGTCCGATCCTCAGCCCTCCATGGATCAGCACTTTCCATGCCCCTCTACCTCTCACTGCCTCCTTCAGATCCTCCATGGTCATCCCATTGTCATCTCTTTATAGTGTCCAGCCAGCAGGTACTAGGGTGGCCCCTTCTCCTTTTTCCGCTCCCAGCATGCTTGATTTTTTGAGTGAATCAGTTCTCATGACATGAGACATTTCTCTGTTGTTGGTATTGTTGGTGTTATTCTATGTTATTCTTCTCTGTTATTTCACAGTGGATTCATGTTTCGTCAGTATTCTTCACTTAAATTCACAAGTGGAAAAGGGGGGGGGGGAATACCATATTGACGTCAGTACAGGTAGTCCTCAAGTTACAACTATTCATTTAGCGACCATTCAATAACAGTCAACAGCACTGAAAAAGTGACTTATGACCAGTCCTCAGACTTATGACCATTGCAGAATCCCCATGGTCACCTGTTCAAAATTTGGGCACTTGGAAACCAGCTTGTATTTATGACAGGGTCATCTGAAGATCATGTGATTGCCATTTGTGATAGGGAAGGCCGGCTATGTTTAACTGTGTGGTTTCACTGTGTGAAACAGCTGCAGCATTTCACTCAACAACCGTGGCAAAAGTTATAAAATTGGGCGCACCTCACTTAACAACTGACTTGTTTAGCAATAGAAATTCTGGTCTCAATTGTGGTTTTAAATCGAGGACTGCCTGTAGTGTGTTTCTTCCCTCCTGTTTGCTTTGTTGTTACAATATTTATGACCTCCATGTAGGGTGGTAAGGACTCTTGCGCTAAAAGGTTATGTGGACAGGACAATGTGGACAGGACAAAAACTGGGGGAAAGTCCTGCTAAAAGGCCCCACCTGCTCTGAAGAACTACAAAAGGAAAGATGGCTGTTGTGTGATTTGGATACACAACAGTAGAGCCAGAAATAAATGACAATGGCTAAACTATAGGACCACATTAATGCAGTGCTGCGAACTATGCATATAGGTAGTCCATCACTTACAATTGGGATGGGAAAATTCATAATTAAATGGTATGGTTGTTAAGAAAGACACTGTGTGATCACAATTTGTGACTTTCCCTGCTGACTTCTCCATTGATGTTGCTTATCAGAAGCTGGCCGGAAAGATTGCAAATGGCAGTCAGATGACAATTGTCATTAATGTGAATCACTTGTTAAGTGCTCAGACTGTGGTCACGTGATTACAGGGACGCTGCAACAATTGTAACTGTAAAATCCAGTTGTAAGTTACTTTTTCCAGCATTGTCATAATTTCAGTCACTAAATAAATGGTTATAAGTAGAGGACTACTTGTATTTGTATCGGATAACACTATTTAGCTTCCACAGCTTACTAATTAGCTCTATCAGACCAACAACTTTTATTAAAAGGTATCAGCTTTCATGAGCTCCAAGTCTTTTCATCAGAATGGCTAGCATGCTCATGAAAGCCGATGCCTTTTAATAAAGAGTACAGAGAAGAGCGCAGAGAAGCGCAACAAAAATGATTAGGGGACTGGAGGCTAAAACATATGAAGAATGGTAGCAGGAACTGAGTATGTCTAATCAAATGAAAAGAAGGTGTGAGAAGTTTTATATCCAAATATATGGTATGTTATTCTTTATATTGTTTCCATCTTCCCTTAAAACATTAACACAATTCACAATGGTCTGAGAATCAGTGTCTCCACTAGATAATTAACAGTCATGCTGAAACTAAATTAATCAAGTAAAAATAGCAAATAGGGGGAAATCCTTTACTCAAACTTCCTCAAACTCTAAAATAATTTACCCAGACCTATCAAAGGACAGCATCTGCAACACAGAGTTATCCCAAAGATGCTTTTTCAAGAGGCAACTGGACTTTCTTGTTTTTCTTTGAAGACATTTCACTTTTCATCCAAGAAGCTTCTTCAACTCTGACTGGATGGTGGGGAATGAAAAGAGTTATACTCCTGCAGACAGCTGTTCATAATTAACAGAGTTAATTAATTAAATTAGGTCTCCCAGCGGAATTGTACATACACACACATCTCAAGTGTCACCATAGAATCAGCATGTAGATACTTCCACACCCTGGACAAGCTCTCCCTATAAAAATTTGCTGCTGTACTCCATTTCTCAGCAGCTGCCCTAAAAAGCAAATTCTTTTGCTTTTAGGAATAAATATTTCTTTTTTCCTCACAGCTGTCCGGACCTCATTTTTATTTATTCTTGCACAACCTGGTTCAAGTTGGAACCCCAAATTATTCTTCTGACAAAGGACTGGAGATGAGATGATAGCAATGTTCCAATATCAAAGGGCTGCCACAAAGAAGAGGGGGTCAACTTATTTTCCAAAGCACCAAAAGGCAGGGAAAAAAAGCAATGGATGGAAACTAATCAAGGAGAGAACTAAGGAGAACTTTCCTGACAGTTAGAACAATTAATCAGTGGAACAGCTTGCTTCCCAAAGTTCTGGGTGCTCCAACAGGTTTTTAAGAAGAGACTGGACAACCACTTGATTGAAATGGTATGTGGTTTCCTGCTTGAGCAGGGGGTTGAACTAGAAGACCTCCAAGGTCCCTCCAACTTTTTATTCTGTTAAAAATTGTCAGTTGGAATAGGGCTACTGGACTCCTGATTTTTGGCTGCAATAGAGTAACATGGTTCTTCTCTATAAGAAACAGTTTTTTTTCTCTTTGTATCTCTCTCTTTGTCCTCTCTAAAGACTGTTCTTTGAAGTGGATTATGAAAAAGCTTACGATAATATCTTTGTTAATCCTTAAATTACAACTAGATTCTTGGTTGATTTTTCCGCAAAAGGCAAAGCCAACTGCTAGTTTTCCGGAAATTGGACCAACAAGCAATCTTTGTGGGAGACTACAAACCCTTTTTGGTTTCATGCATGCATTCTGCTTTTGGACTCTTTCCCTTAAGTGAACTCCCCTTCCTGTTACAACACTGTAAGAAACCATATTTGCCTGCATGACCCAACCATTTCAAGTTCTTCTTCCACTCATTTTCTGCTGATTCAACTATTTATTGGTGAGGCTTTCTAATCTCCATTGCATTCAAATTACTTTGGTTCTCTTTATTGGAAAAATAACCATGGTTAGTTTCCAGTTTTGTTTGCACCCAGTACACTCCTGGCTGGTCCTTATTTGCAGCAAAATTCAGACACTTGGCAAGTGGCATATTTATGATGGTGGCAGTGTCCTGGGGTCACAAGCAAAGTCAATGGGAAAGCCAGATTCACTTAACCGTGTTACTAACTTAACACCTGCAGTGATTCACTTAATAACCTATTCTATTCTATTCTATTCTATTCTATTCTATTCTATTCTATTTCTATTTCTATTTCTATTCTATTCCCAACTCAACCAATACCCACCTCTCATTTCCATAGAACAAAATGGATATGTTG